ATAATCATATTAAACATGTGTTTTCTTAATTGTCTATTTCTAAACATAGGAATCTGATGTTCAGTAGTTGTCGTTTGTTGATGTGGTTCATAAGTGTTTCTCGTTTCTCGTTTTTTATAATAGATTAGACCGTTGATTTTCCCGTATGAATGGTTTTACACTAGTAATTTTTGGGGCCCTTTATAGCTTGCTGTTCGGTGTGAGCCAAGGCTCCGTGTTAAAGACCGTACTTTGACCTATAATGGTTTACTTTTATAAATTTTGACTTGGATGGAGAGTTGTCTCATTGGCACTCATACCACATCTTCTTATATCTATGTACGAATACTAATACTAATACGAAGCTTTATTTAAATTCGGTATATTTACAAACTGCAAAACATAAGCTCTATAAAGCTTTTATCCTAATACATACAAACATATACAACAATATAAAAAGCATAATCATGCAAGCAAACTAAAAATATAAAAGCACACATAAAAGTAAGCACAACACAAGCATGGCAAAGCAAATTATAAATGCTAGCATAACTATAAAAGAGCAAAGTTGTGTAAAATAAGCACAGTGAAATAAACTGAAATCTTGATATCTACAAGTCTTTCTTCATGATGGAGTTTCAGATTTTAACAGACAAATGATTCAGGTACATAAGATAAGATATAAGATAAGATATTTTGTATTCCAATTAAAGGGACCATGAAGAGCAAAGTAATTTATACAATGATTTTAATAATGGACACAATAATTTTAAAAATCATATATAAATATGAATATAATCAACTAAATTCTAAGATCTTAAACCGGCACAGCCAGACCAGAGCCATAAGCATATAAATAAAAAAGCAATAACTTAACAGTTCTTATATCTATCTATATACATAATATTTCAGGCAAATATTCTTAATGGGTTACATATAAACATATCTGCACTTTTTTCAAAACATTACCTCTAGGTTTTCTTGAATAAAAAGCCAATTAAACTTAATTGGCACTTGTGTTTAACATTTCGAAATTTTTACAACTTATCAAAATTTTATCATAGAACTCTTTTCTCAAGAGATTATAAAGGGGACATTGGCATATAAAATATTCTTCATATCAGGCCAACTTTATCCAACGGTGCACTTTTTACATAATCTTTGTGATTTATCTATTATGTCCCAGGTTTACCTTTATCTGATTTAACCGTATGTTCTTTAAAATCTCTCCAATAATTCAGAAAACTTTCACATAATTTATCCTTAACTATAGTACATAATCGACGAACACTTACATTTAAAGTCTAGTTATTTCATTTTATATTAAAAATCAATACTAGCTTCGGAAAACCATGTAGTAATATTTTTTACATGTAACTTTTTATTAAAAAATATGAATATTGGTTTATATTTTTAACAAAGCCTAGGGCCTGTGCTAACTACAATCATAGATGCCTATATGGCTATTATATATATGCTACAATTAAATTTGAATATATATTACAGATTTTTCGCAACGATAGTGAAATACGGAAAATTTATCCCGTCATTGTCTCGTCATATAGACTAGCCAATTGGCGGCAAATTTATTTTTGGAGGGACATGTCAAATTAGCCCGATTACATCCAATCTCAGAGAATATTTACCAAAGAAAATACACAAAGCAAGTATGTGCGGTAATTAACTGAACTGTAAACCACTATTGTATTTTATTTATGTTCAAATAGGAAACCAAAGCCGAAACAAATACTTCATTTCATTTAGACATTCAGCAAAAACAAAACACACTTACACAGTATCCAGTACTCTCACAACAAGGTTAACACTGACTGCCATAAGAGGGGGCCCGCTACAGCCATGCTTCAGTGATTCCCTATATAATCACCCACCGCCCCCCCCCCCCCCAAACCCCCTGCATCTGCTTATGTTCAAGAATTTACAGCAAGTCAGCATGCACCTCAAAATGCATAGGTTTGTGCTTTCAATTATACATTGACGGAATTGCTTCCCTTGAGTAGTAAATACATAGCCATGTATATATTTAAGCAGTTTAGCATGTGTTGTACTTAACCCTTTCAACGCTACACTAAAAAATAGAAAAATGGCTGCTGCTGCTGCATTTTTTTTTGTTCATTCATTAGAACAGTATATTCCTTTTCAGACTGCTGTATCTTTTTTATTATTAGAGATACAAAGTTAGTGCATGAAAAATGCTCAGGAGAGCATGAACTGTAATGTGATGCAATTATTTTAGTAAAATTTTCATCAAGCTACCTGCATTTTCAGGTAATTAACAGGTAAAAGGTGTAAGTTATTGTATTTGTGTTGAATTTTGAATAAAAACAACTTTTAATCTTCATTTATTTTGTTGTTTTATCTGCCATATAATAAAGAATACACCAGTTGCTCGATTCTGTAGCGTATTTGCACCATACACAACGTATAATGTAAACATGGCGCAAATAAGTGGCTCCGTCCTAAAAATTTTCAGTCTACCTCCGTTTCCCCCCCCCCCTTTTTCTACGTCTCAAAAGATCTACCAAATCATATTTCCCACACGAATTGAATGTAATCAACACATTGAGATAACGGGAAACCTTTTAACTATTCCTCGTTGACAGTTTCGCCATAGAAATGCTGAAATATTTCCATATTTACAGCGTCTTTTTCAATTTCCGCCATTTGCATTTGTCAAAATATTTTTTTTAATTTTTCTTCTACTGCATGCTTTTACTATTAAAATTCCCGCGATTCCAAGCGCAAATGGGACGTTGTATATCCTCGATTCATACGAGGAAAAATAAGAGCGGACCCGAATGAAAACCAAATGGTAACGAGTCTGTATGAAAAATCCATCGTTATCTAGACATATGCCGCGAACAGCAGTGGCGGGCGACGTACGTCATCGCGGCATATGCCGTGTATAGCGTTGAAAGGGTTAAGCTCAGGGATAGAGAGCAGACTTCATACACAGGTCCTAGAGGAGACGATGCAATTTCTAAGAGAATTGTGCTCTCCAGTTTCATTTGGCAACCAACTGAAAAACCCACGGTGGTGAGAGGTTATGTGTTGTGAGAGTCATTATACACCAATCTAGAGTTGTTTTTTATGAATGAGTTATACCAGATGACCAGAGGTCAATCTGCGTTAATGACGTCATCGAACAATCAGTTTTTATTGTGAAATATTAACATCAGCATTGTGACGTGGGAAATTTATGGGAAAGTGCATGAATTCGAAAGTCGTCTTATGGTATGATGACTGGGTCAAGTAAGTGGATTGCTTCCCTTGAGAAGTAGATACTTAACCTGCCTTCGGTGGTTCAATCCCTTTTGGGTTTCTGTGTCTGGAGCGATTTTCTGATTTGGCCACCCTCAGAATTCCTTATTTCTATAAAGTCTATTCAGTCAATTTTTTGCCAGCATCACATCCAACTGGTGCCTTTTAAGCCTACAGAACCATTCTGTACACCCGTTAAACTTCTTTAGCTCAGTCAGTTAGAGCGCTGACTTTAAATATAGAGGTCCTGGAGGATCATAACTAAGGTTTTATTTGACCAAAGCAAGGTCTCTTGTTTGCTCAAGGTCCTTGGTGGATACAAGGTCAGTTGAGGCAGCATAACATTGAACATTCCTTTCTCATCAAAATGAATGTCCAAATCAGTTAAGCAATTAGCAATTTTGTTGTTGGGCAAGCAATAATTTCCTAGGATTTTGAGATTTTCAAGATAATTCTATATACCTTAGGAAAAATAATGTCTGTATCTGTGTGATAAGCACAGGGGTCACCACACTACATAATTTTAGCAGCCAATTTGGCAGCCAAATGGATAAATGAAGACCCAACAGGTAGAATTGAGGGATCACATTAATGTTTTTATCTCGCCTTTCCTAAAAGAGCTTTTGCCATCACTTGGTGTCCGTCGTCCTCCGCCAGGTGTAAACTATTTCAAAGATCTTTTCCTCTGAAACTACTGAACCAATTTCAACCGAACTTATGCTGAATGATCCTTAGGGTATCTAGTCAGTGATATTGTTTGCCTCAAATTACAGCCGAAATTCAGCTTTTTCCCCTACAGAAAATTCCCAATTACTAAAAAAAATGGCTTAAAATTCCTCCCAAAAAGTTTTACATTTTCCCCAAACACTGATTGCATTGGTAGTAATGTTTGTAAATATTGTATTCATGTTATTATTTTGATATTAGAAAGCACTTTTGAGATCCAGTTTTCTGATCAGAATTATCATGGTGTTTGTAACATGTGGTTTTCAATGCATTAAGTACCATCATCGCTTCTGTTTCTTTCCCCTCCCCGAAAAGTACCTTTTAGGTTGAAATGTCTGACAACCAAAATAAACATGAAAAAACAGTGCAAAAAAGACAGCAAAGGTCAGCAAAAAATCGGAGATGTGTTTAGATTAAAATATACAAATTTCCCAATTTCAATAAAAAATATGCATTTTTCCCAATAAAAAACGGTAGAGGTAGTTTTGAAAAAAGACAACAATATCACTGCCAGTATAAAGTTTGTTTTATTTTCTATTTCGTCAAAAACATGGCCGCCATGGATAAAAATAGAGCATATGGGTAAAATGCAGTTTTTGGCTTATATCTCAAAAACTAAAGCATTTAGAGCAAATCTGACATGGGTTAAAGTGTTCATTAGGTCAAGAACTACCAGGCCTGAACATTTTTCAAACATATCCACACTACCGATTTTTGGGTTATTGCCCCTAAATTGATAATTCTAATGAAATTTTGCAGTTTTTGTCGAGCCTGCGACTTTTGTCGCAGAAAGCTCGACATAGGGATAGCGATCCGGCGGCGGCTACGGCGGCGGCGGCGGCGTTAGCTAACTTCTTAAAAGCTTTATATTTTAGAAGATGGAAGACCTGGATGCTTCATACTTTGTATATGGATGCCTCATGTTACGAAGTTTCAGTCAGTCACATGTCCAATGTCCTTGACCTCATTTTCATGGTTCAGTGACTACTTGAAAAAAAAGTTCTGATTTTTTGTAATGTTAAATTCTCTCTTATTATAAGTAATAGGATAACTATATTTGGTATGTGCGTACCTTGCAAGGTCCTCATGCCCTTCAGACAGTTTTCACTTGACCTCGACCTCATTTCATGGATCAGTGAACAAGGTTAAGTTTTCGTGGTCAAGTCCATATCTCAGATACTATAAGCAATAGGTCTAGTATATTCGGTGTATGGAAGGACTGTAAGGTGTACATGTCCAACTGGCAGGTGTCATCTGACCTTGACCTCATTTTCATGGTTCAGTGGTTATAGTTAAGTTTTTGTGTTTTGGTCTGTTTTTCTTATACTGTATGCAATAGGTCTACTATATTTGGTGTATGGAATGATTGTAAGGTGTACATGTCTAGCTGGCAGGTGTCATCTTACCTTGACCTCATTTTCATGGTTCAGTGGTCAAAGTTAAGTTTTTGAGTTTTGGTCTTTTTTTCTAATACTATATGCAATAGTTCAACTATATTTGGTGTATGGAAATATTTTATGATCTATATGTCAGTCACGCAGGTTTTATTTGACCTTGACCTCATTTTCAAGGTTCATTGCTCAGTGTTAAGTTTTTGTGTTTTCGTCTGTTTTTCTTAAACTATAAGCAATAGGTCAACTATATTTGTTGTATGGAAGAATTGTTAGCTGTACATGCCTGCCTAGCATGGTTCATCTGACCTTGACCTCATTTTCATGGTTCATTGGTCAATGTTTAGTTTACTTGGTTAATGTTAAGTTTATGTGACAGTTGTAATAAAGCTTTATATTTAGGACTATCAACATAATATCAATGATTAGTAAAGAAGGCGAGACATTTCAGCGTGTGCACTCTTGTTGGTTATTATCTTGAATATTATCATAGATAAAGATAAACTGTAAACAGTAAAAATGTTCAGCAAAGTAAAATCTACAAATAAGTCACAATGTCCAAAATTGTCAATTGACTCATTAAGGAGTTGTTGCCCTTTTAAGGCAATTTTACACAATTTGTTCATCATGATTGTTAACTTTAAAAAATCTTCTCCTCTGAATGTCAGCTAAACTTACGCTGAATGATCCTTAGGGTATCTAGTATAAAGTTTGTATTTTATATTATTTTTCATAAAAAAACAACGCAGCCATGGGTAAAATAGAACGTAGGAGTAAAATGTGGTTTTTGGCTTATATTTTAAAACCAAGGTATTTGAGCAAATCTGACAATGATTTCAAGTGTTCATTAGGACAAGATCTACCTGCCCTGAAATTTTAAAGCAAATTGGATAACTGATTTTTAGGTTATTGCCCCTGAATTGATAATTTAAATTTTATTCTTCCTTGCACAACTCACAATCCAATAATTTTAGTGGATGTCATTTGTTGCTGTGTTTCATAGTTGCTTTTCCTTTATTGTTTTTAGCTCACCTTTCCTAATTGTCATGCAGTACTCTCAGAATGCTGGATACTATCCACACTGGTTTGTGTCCACACTTATTAATTATACATTAAAAACTTACATGACTTAAAAGCAAAAGAAAAACTTTGATGAAAAATTTAAATAAAAAACTACAGGTGAGCAATTCAGGCTCTTGAGAGCCTCTTGTTTATGAATTAAATTTCCCAGCATCTATACTTTTTAGAAAATGACGCAGTCAATTTTCTTTTACCATTGACCAGACTTCCAACCCGCATTCCGAACTCGGTTCCGTATTTTACATACTTAAAGTGAATGTTAGTATGCTCATACATTGGTAAAAGAAAGACAACTCCAGCGTTGCAAATGTACATTTTAAAATAACAGATGGTGTTGTCTCCCTTCAATATGTCTTGTTGTGTACAAAATGGAGGTAATTAACCTTCGTGACCGTCGGACAATTTTCAATCATATTTATGGAAATACAACTGGAACAGAATTAAATTTGTAATTTTCATTCTTTAACTTCTTAACCTGTCATACCTGCCAACTTGCACGATTCAGGCGTGAAATACTCGATTTTGACCCCTTGTCACGATTGCACGATTGTGATCGTGTAAAAACCTCTAAACCACGATTTTGTTAAATTCTACTGTTCCCAATATTTCGAACTTTCCTCAAACTTTTCCCAAGGGAGACAACTGTGATCAGCCAATCAAAATCGTTGTTTCTCCTGATCTTTGGGTATTGTAAACTGCACATGTGCTAAATTTTGAACTTGTTAGGAACTCAGAATATTGTAGAAATCGTGATCATGGCAGACCAATTTTAATTACAAGAAGGTTCTTACACAGCTGAAGAAGTAAATCATGACTGATTGACAAAGTTCAAAGATACAGTTCAACCATAAACATAATAAACAGTAGCTAATGGACAAATTTTACACTTATGGTAACAGATCATACATGTTGTCATTCTTGAAATTAAATTACCAAATCAATTAAAGTACAATGTTCTATCTTTTAATTTTCACAAGGAATCAGATATATTTCCTTCTTTGTGCATATTTTTATATTTGAAAAGTAAACAATCACTTTAATATTCCTGTGACCAATAATCTGATAATCCACCTTTAAGGTTCATCTAATATACACCAACAAAAATGGCTGTGTTTACAGCATGAAATTTTCTCTGAATGCAGACAAAACTGTGTAATTCTAATAGTTTTAAATCCTGGCAGCACCTGGCCACAACAACTCTTTTTCCTGTGGTACCTGAAAACAATAAACCGGTTTGGTACATTGTTGAGGTCTGAAAGTGACTTATAACTGCCAACAGCCACATTATTTGGACTCTGGTAGATAGTACATCAGACTGTTATCTCATTGGCAATCACACCCCCATCTACTTATTTTATTACGGGTCAATTATTTGAAATAAATGACTACGGTACTCAACATTAAATCATTTGAAAAAAAATAATTTTGCAATAATTTATGATTTCAGTGTAAGCTTGCTTACTACAGCCTCTTCACAATGAAATTAAGTTGTATAGATGGTGTCACTTTGTTTATAATTGTGAAACTAGTATAACAATACTATTGTCTAAATCTACAGAAATTGATCATGTTTAGGTAACTGAAATAACAATGTGATTTTGTCACTAGGTCACCTGTAACTTATCTCTTGAATAAGGACTATGTTGGGTATAAGAGCTTTCTTACTACAGGCTCTTCATAATCATTTTGTTAAATAATTCTACAAATAAGGGAAACACATTCACATATTACTTTGAATATTGTAGATTGTTCAGGTAGTCTTAAGCTATTTCTTTGTACAGCAGAACAACTAGTAGTTATTTTCACTTCACACACATATATATATATATCTTGACAAACAAATAAAAACGCTATAGATTGTGGAAACAATTCATATCTATTCTATCAGTCACCCTACCTACCATAAATTGAAACGTCGCCTAAGATTCAGTAGGTAAATTAAGTAAAAATCAAGACTTGTATCAAAAATATCCCAATATGAGAGACAATGGCGTCATTTTTACTTAGAGCTTTCAGCTCTTTGATTGTTATTTTTAGGAACCATGTGCGTGAGTCACAATTGATAAGATGTTATTTCCTTGCCTTGTATATGCAAATTTGAGAATTATATTCTAGTCTATAATGTTGGAGAGTGGTCATTGTTGAAGATACACATTGATCCAGGTGAATGACAAGTGTTCTACTTATACCCCGTTTAAAAAAGTGGGGTATACTGTTTTACCTGTCTGTCCGTCCGTCCCATGAATATTTTTTCGTCACATTTTTAGCTCACCTGGCCCAAAGGGCCAAGTGAGCTTTTCTCATCACTTGGCGTCCGTCGTCCGTCGTCGTTAGCTTTTTACAAAAATCTTCCCCTCTGAAACCACTGGGCCAAATTTAACCAAACTTGGCCACAATCATCATTAGGGTATCTAGTTTAAAAAATGTGTCCGATGACCCCGCCAACCAACCAAGATGGCCACCATGGCTAAAAATAGAACATAGGGGTAAAATGTAGATTTTGGCTTATATCTCTGAAACCAAAGCATTTAGAGTAAATCTGACATGGGTAAAACTGATTATCAGGTCAAGATCTATCTGCCCTGAAATTTTCAGACAATCTGACAACCTGTTTGTGGGTTGCTGCCCCTGAATTGGTCATTTTAAGGAAATTTTGCAGTTTTTGGTTATTATCTTGAATATTATTATAGATAGAGATAAACTGTAAACAGCAATAATGTTCAGCAAAGTAAGATCTACAAATAAGTTGTCATGACCAAAATTGTCACTCGTCCCCTTTAGGAGTTATTGCCCTTAATAGTCAATTTTTAACCATTTTTTGTAATCTTTTACAAAAATCTTCTTCTCTGAAACTACTGAGACAAATGGCCATAATCATTATTAGGGTATCTAGTTTAAAAAATTTGTCCGATGGCCCCGTCTTCCAACCATCATGGCCAACTTGGTTGAAAATAGAAAATAGGGGTAAAATGCAGTTTTTGGAAAATGACACTATCAGCGGCATGTTTCCGATACCATTAACCAGAACTTACGGAAGTCGATTATTGCCTCCGCCTACCGCATTCAGTTTCATATTTACTATTTTACATACTAACTGGAATCTGCTTGTATTACGCTACACTGGAACAAAGTGTTGTAGTCGGACGGGAAACCAGTTTACATACTTTATTTTATTTACCAAAAAGATATCTTGACCTGTCCATATGTTTTTTTTTTTATTAAATGGTATTTGGAGCTATCCCTTTGTTATATTTTTCATATTTATTCGAGCTTTCACTTTTATGCACATGTCTTACAATCGTAAACAATCGGTATGTATACATGATAAATAGATCCGTTTTGTTATGGTGTTGGACTTTTTACCCTCCAATGATCAGCAATCGCTAGACAAAATAGTTCTCCTAAATAATGTCAGCCTTTCATGCCATTTCAACTTTACAATCATTAAAAAAAGTGAAAATCAGAATCATTTTGATATCCATTGGATAGAAACTGGTCTTTATCCAGATTAACGAAGATTTTAAAAATCGGAAATTAGTAATATGGTTATACCCACGCGGTGCGTATGAATCTTTGTTTACAAAACAGGATTGCGGAACGTCTCTAGTTTTTAGATCGTAAGTCACGATAAACTCAAACTGAAAGTAAACAGTTGTTTGTAAGACGCAGGTTTACTCACCATAAACAAGCTGAAACGTTCAGTATGGCATATATTTTAGGTTAAAGACGGTCCCATTCATTTAAAAAGCATTTTGAAAGTAGACGATGGGATTATTTCAGGTTTGGGGAATGAGTATTCATTTCTTGACGACCTCATAATTTCATCATGTCGATGGTACAAATCGATTTTACTGTTTACTGTCGCTTCTCATGTTTTGTATTTAAACGGTCGTTTATTTTTAAACCCGAACCAGGCATATGCATTCTGTAATTGTGCAAATCTTCGTTCTTTGGTAAATTGGCTTATGGATAGTTGTATCAATTTCAACTCTTACATTTTTTTTTTTTTAAATATATTTGCATTACACATGCAATGGCAGAACCTTTCCAATTACTATTTATGTGTTGTGTCTAAATTAAAGTTGTAACACTTTATAGTGACTGGAAAGGGTAGAAAAATTCATCAGATGAGAAAAGGCTAAAGATACTTCAAACCAAGGGTCCGGAAAGGGTCATATTTGCCAGTCATGTTCTAAGATAAAACTATTTGTCCTAAACGAGTAATTTGGGATTTAGGACAAATTTTATTTTTTTACAGAAGTAATTTCGGTCATTTCATTGACTTCTCAATCTCAATGTTTGAAATCGGATTTCGTAATCGCCATTTTGCACTTGTGATCACTTGTTTTTGTTTATAATCCCTTTCCTGTAATAAAGCTGCCACTACAGTAGTTTGATAATCCTGAGGGCCCTCTTAATATCTATATCAATGCCTCTGGGAAACATAGGCTAATGATCGCTAATCACTTTTTACCTGTGGTTTTAATTCACACCTGACAGTGATCACAAGCTCAGAATAATATCTTTAAAACATTAAAGTTCCCTGACAAGTGTATTCATTATTTATTTACTTTTCATCAAAGACAGTCATCAATTCTGATTTAAAAATTAAATCTAAATTTACGTAGAAAAAAGTATTTTTTCATGAGTAACACATGTGCTTTATTTACTATGTAATACGCATGCGTGATATTGTCTTCAGCAAATTTAAAATTTAATCGTACAATGCAAATTGATTTCATGCTAAATTAAACGAGTGCAACTATTATCTGTTATATTCAAACACTTTTAAAGGTAATAAAATAAAAAAGCCATAAAAAGCCGGTAATTTCCTGTCAATATTTGATAAACAAAACAAATCCCGGAAATGAATCCGGAATTATTCGTACTTTAAAATATCACAAACTTCCGGTTTTAACTTTTGTCAAATCGAAAGAAACGTAAGCAATGTCTGAGAAATTAACCATTTTGAGTCATTAAAATCATTTCAATTTTAGACTGCTGCCTTCCCTAAACTGTCCTTCATGGTAATGGTAAGACATTTACTTAGTAAATGTGATGAAACAGCAATACAAGTTCGTCATGTTCGTTGATGCTATGAATATAGTCAAATTGATATCGACAATTTGAAAAGGGGCACCAACTTTTCAAACATCTCAAAATGACCGAAATTGTCTGGAAAAATTTCCGGATCCTTGCTTCAAACGGCACCGAATCATTAGATATTGCATCTTATAAAAAGAAACTGAGATTTGGATAGTTCCACTTCAAGGTAAAAATGTTTATCCCTTGTGAAATGAAATAAAAAAAATATTGTAACACTGTAGTTAATTAATAAAGATACTATAACGTGTATTTCTGTATTGGTCTTATTATTGGTTCTCTGCCAGCAGTCAAACGGCACTGAATCATTAGATATTGCATCTTATAAAAGGAAACTGAGATTTGGATAGTTCCACTTCAAGGTAAAAATGTTTATCTCTTGTGAAATGAAATAAAAAAAATATTGTAACACTGTAGTTAATTAAAAAAAGATACTATTACGTGTATTTCTGTATTGGCCTTATTATTGGTCCTCGGCCAGCAGTATTGGCCTTCCGCTTCGCCTCAGACCAATACACTCAAGACATGGACCAATAACAAGGCCAATACAGAAATACTTACGCAATGATATTATAGAATGACAGAATGGTTCAATAGTGGGAATCAGCCCCTCAACTACTTTTTACATAAATATTAACTTTTGGCTTCAACGCTTTGTTCGTCTTGTCTGGAGATCTTGCTGTAGTTCCAGTTCAGCAAGCATTTAAGAGACGTATCCCGTCCATCCTCTTTTGACTTGTAATCTCTGGTGATAGATTTTGCCGCTTGACATTGTATCCTTTCAAGCTTGTTAGCTCACCTGGCCCAAAGGGCCAAGTGAGCTTTTCTCATCACTTGGCGTCCGTCGTCCGTAAACTTTTACAAAAATCTTCTCCTCTGAAACTACTGGGCCAAATTTGACCAAACTTGGCCACAATCATCATTGGGGTATCTTGTTTAAAAAATGTTTTCGATGACCCGGCCAACCAACCAAGATGGCCGCCATGGCTAAAAATAGAACATAGGGGTAAAATGTAGATTTTGGCTAATATCTCTGAAACCAAAGCATTTAGAGCAAATCTGATATGGGATAAAATTGTTTATCAGGTCAAGATCTATCTGCCCTGAAATTTTCAGATGAATCGGACAACCCGTTGTTGGGTTGCTGCCCCTGAATTTGTAATTTTAAGGAAATTTTGCCGTTTTTGGTTATTATCTTGAATATTATTATAGATAGAGATAAACTGTAAACAGCAATAATGTTCAGCAAAGTAAGATCTACAAATAAGTCAACTTGACCAAAATGGTCAGTTGACCCCTTAATGAGTAATTGCCCTTTATAGTCAATTTTTAACCATTTTTCGTAAATTTTAATAATCTTTTACAAAAATCTTCTCCTCTGAAACTACTAAGACAATTTTAACCAAACTTGTCCACAATCATCATTAGGGTATCTAGTTTAAAAAATGTGTCCAATGACCCCGCCCGCTAACTAAGATGGCCGACATGGCTAAAAAATAGTACATAGGCAAACAAATGCAGTTTTTGGCTCGTATCTCTGAAACCAAAGCATTTAGAGCAAATCTGACGGGATAAAATTGTTCATTAGGTCAAGATCTATCTGCCCTGAAATTTTAAGACCAATCAGGCAACACGTTATTGGGTTGCTGCCCCTGAATTGGTAATTTTAAGAAAATTTTGCAGCTTTTGGTTATTATCTTGAATATTGTTATAGATAGAGATAAACTGTAAACAGCAATAATGTACAGCACAGTAAGATCTACAAATAGGTCAACATGACCAAAATTGTCAATTGACCCCTTAAGGAGTTATTGCCCTTTATAGTCAATTTTTTACAATTTTCATAAATTTTGTAAATTTTTGTAAATTTTTACAAAATATTTTCCACTGTAACTACTGGGCCAAGTTCATTATAGATAGAGATAATAGTAAGGAGCAAGAATGTTCAGTAAAGTAAGATCTACAAACACATCACCATCACCAAAACACAATTTTGTCATGAATCCATCTGTGTCCTTTGTTTAATATGCACATAGACCAAGGTGAGCGACACAGGCTCTTTAGAGCCTCTAGGTTTTTTTTTGTTACCATGTAGGGGTCCCATACTATGGCTCCATATTAAATTATAAGATCCATTCCTAAAGATCTATATCATTGTTCTAATCTGACACAAATTTCAATAACTGGAATGCTACCCAAGTTGAATATATGGTGACCCACGAGAACAGCATTATCACTATTGAAATTGTGTTTAATACCATGATTGTTCAATGTCATTAACTTAAATGGAGACAGACATTTGACCTGAAAGACATGAAAGGTGGTGTGGGAGTGCAAAATCAAAAACTAACTGACTATGATATATGGTTAAAGAATGAATATCAATTACATGGGTCAACATGGTCAAGGGCAGAGCTGTTATAAAAAAACAATATGGCAGAGAACATGGAGAAGTGGTTTCAAGTTTCATATTAAGCGACCTGACTGACATGAAATAAAAAATCGAAGGAGTATCCCTATTTGTCTAATCTTCAAGGCGAAATAAAACTAGTAAAACAATATTATACTATTGTCTAAATATACAGAAATATAATTTGCTTCAAGTAACAGAAATAACTAGGTCACTAGTAACTTATTTAATGAGTATGTGGGGTATAAGAGCTTGCTAACAACAGGCTCTTCATAATCATTTGGTTTGACAAGGATACTACAAATGTAGTAGTCTATATTCTTGATTTAGAAAAATGTAATTGCAAGAAAAAAATCACATTACTTAGAATACTTTAGATCATTCAGGTAGTCTTTATTTATATGTACAAAAGAACAGTCAGTAGTCATTGGATATTGTAGATCATTCAAATAGTCTTGACCTTTTTATTAGTACAAAAGAACAGCCAGTAGTCATTGGATATTGTAGATCATTCCGGTAGTCTTGACCTATTTATTTATACAAAAATACAGCCAGTAGTAATTGGATACTGTAGATCATTCAGGTAGTCTTGACCTATTCATTTGTACTGAAAAAAACAGACACATATACGAATATTAATTATATGCTTACGAGACATGTTACAATGTTAAACTTATTACAGTATGTGAAAATCAAGACTTGCATAAAAAATATCACATTATTAGAGACAGTGGCGTCATTTTTCCTCAGAGCTTTCAGCTCTTTGATTGGTTTATATCTCTGAAACTAAAGCATTTAGAGCAAATCTGACAGGTGGCAAAAATGTTCATCAGATGTAGATTTATCTGCCCTGAAATTTTCAGACAAATCCGACAACCCGTTGTTGGGTTACTGCCCCTGAAATAGTAATTTTACAAAAATTTTGCAGTTTTTTGTTATTATCTTAGATATCATTATAATATCTAATATCTAAAACTTTTAATTATGATTTTAACCTTATTTTACATGATTTCCAAAGCATCAGTAAATACAGGTGAGCGACACAGGCTCTTGAGAGCCTCTAGTTCTCAGGTACTACATTACAAGGATTTTTGAAATTTGGTTTCAAGGTTTTTACGAGTGATTAATACAGTGTGATGCGTTTTCAGATTCATCACTCAACAACTTCCTGTTTACCGAACACTTACATATTTTTACACTATTAAAATTATCCATATTTGGGCGGGGGTATCATCAGTGAGCAGTAGCTCGCAGTTTCACTTGTTACCTCTAGTTTCAAATCTGCTAACTTGGGTACATGTACATTTAACATAAGGTTTCTGTTGATTATGCATATTAAGTTGAGTTATGTTAATTTCGAAATTCATTTCAGAATAATTACAGATTGGTAGTTTTTATGATAATGGATACTAGACAAGCCAGAAAAAGAAGATGGACTCCGTCACCAGAAAAAAGGACAGCAAGGTAAATGTACTGCAGATAAAAACTACATGAATTACATGAGATAAATGAAGCATGGATTTAAAATAAATGCATTGATTGAAATACAAAATGAACACATGAAAAAACATGTTACACTCGCACACCAGGAGTGGAGCCTATATTACAATCACCTTTTCATTTTGCATACCTCCACTTTAGGAGTCTTGCAATCACTTTGATATAATATAAAATTATGAGATGTGTGATTACAAATGACTCCACTTTACACCAGAGTCCAAATGACATGGATGTAAGCAACTATAGGTGACCATGAAGTACCTCTTATCATCAATGAACAAAGCCTATACAATATAGTTAAACATGAATTAAAAATAAATACAATGATTAAATTTCACTTAAATATGATGTGATATTTGGTCCAGAGTGTTGGAACGTGTGATATAAAGGCTTACAATTGTAATAAATTGGTTTAATTATTTATTTTTCTAAATTCCACCGCTTAAATTCATTAAATATTACTTTTGATTAAAAGACACTACAATTGTAAATTACATTTTCATTGACTGATTTTATAATCGCCATAATGTTTCAACAATACTGAAATACCAGTGATTCCATTTCATGCACAAGCAATTGTTTTTTTTAACTGCTCATCTGTTTTGGGGTCAAAGATGGTGGTTGCAAAACATTGCCATTGGCAAATAAAAAAAGTAGTCGTAAAATTTGGAGAATTCATACCACAGAAAGTAGCTGAATATAATTGAACCAATGCTTTAAAGTTTAAAGCTGTGACATGATTAGTTTTGCTGGAAAATCTCTGAAATAGAAGGTAGTACAAAGATTAAATCCCCAAACAATCTTTTTCTTTTTGGTTACACAATCTTCTTTGTCAGGATTAATTGCCACAACTGTCTAACTGAATGTAATACAGAAACTCAAGAGAGTATAGCACATTTAGTACTGTATCAAGTGTCTAATACTACTTGTTAAAGTAATCAAATAAAATTCAGTTCAATCTGTGTATTGAGATACATGTATGAAAATTGATTTCCCACACTTTTTTCTAATATATATATAAAGGGAGACCATTCGATCTCTGATCAGTTATGAACTTATCTGATCTTATGAATAGTTGAAAATACAATTTTTATGCCCCACTTAGGGGCATTATGTTTTTCAGTCTGCGTCCGTCCGTCTTTCCGTCTGTCCCGCTTCGGGTTAAATTTTTTGGTCAAGGTAGTGTTTTATGAAGTTGAAGTCCAATCAACTTGAAACTTAATACACATGTTCCCTATGATATGATCTTTCTAATTTTAATGCCAAATTAGAGTTTTGACCCCAGATTTACGGTCCACTGAACATAGAAAATGATAGTTTGAGAGGGGCATCCATGTACTATGGACACATTCTTGTTTACTGAGCAGATGATTATAATTCAAATAGATAAAGTTTTAAAAAATCTGCTACAGTTGTGGCTAAGAAAAGTGGGACATAATCCAAAATAATCTTACGTGTGACATTTATTTCATACCAGTCAACTATTTCATGATGGCATACATGTATTTTGAAATGATGCGTCTTGGACTTCATTATATAAACTGCCATCAATCAATCACACAAAGTACTTATCTAAGATAATATATATCATAAAAGTTACACAATAATAAATCTACACAGTCAAGTATAGTATTTCAGTGTCAATGAAATTCATGACAGCAGTTCTCTCAGAAAAATAATTCCTCAACATTTTAGTCACCTATATATTTCTTGGTTCTACTAAGGTCACATTTATCATTTGATCCCTAGTATTGTATGTATCAATATTTTACAACTGTATTCTATATCTCATCAAGATATGATTTTATATGAAGGTAATCTACAAATTTTAGAACTTGAAAGTTTTCAGTTTATTAAAATCTGCTGTATATTGATAGATATTTTTTTTCTGGCTCTCTTATTTTAATGATAACATTTTGTTGATAGGACAAGTTTGGACTTTACAGAGAATACACCACCACCACTTAAGAGGGTTAGAGAATCATCTACAGAAAGTGATGATGAATCAAAGTTTACAGTCAAATCATTTTATGGTGGACGGGAAAAGAAGAGCTTCCCACATTCCCCAGGAAGACGCAAGGCGGCAACTAAGGTTTTGAGCAAGTTGGAAGGAGAAGAGGAAGAAGAATTTCTAACACTCAGAAAAAATGTGCCAGGGAAGATCTTAAAAACAAGCAGTAAAGTGAAGAAAGATGTCTTCAAATTGTCTAGTACGAGCTCAGATTCAGAACCTATTGAAGTCCTTAAAGATAGGTAAATAGCTTGGCACAGAAGGAATGACTTTGTATTGAATTCTAAAGTTTCAATTTGTATAATATAGCAAACATAATGGCCTGATAGCCTCAAAGAATAGCTAGTCTAAAACACTTATCTGCCTTACAAATGATATAACTATTGGCAATTTTGTGATAATTTCTGTCAGACATCTTGCCTGACATGTCATATATATTTGATACCTCTTATATTGGACTGAATCAATGCCCCTACTTTAACCATTTTATATACTGGTAATAAAAAAATTTATATATGTCCGATTCCTGCCTCTAGTCATGAAAAAAGGGTCAGTCAGTCAAAATCCTGAAAAATTACATATTTTCTACAAGTCTGAATTCTTGATTTACACAGCACGTTAGGTAATCCACACATGTAGGATGGTACATAAGTAATTTCCCATGTTGCGACAACATTTCACTTGATTTTGGTTAATCTTGTTACAAATTTGACTGAATGATCCAGCAGAAATAGGATTCTTAGTCTACTCAAATGACACAAAACACTCTTTCTTGAATATTTTTGTAGAAAGGTAAAACAAAAATTTAGGGTCAGCAATCTAACTTAGGTTTGGTAGGGAGCAATCTGATCAATAAATAATCAAATTTTCATCGTACTGATTTTTTACAGTAATAATATTTAGAAAATCTGATAATCGGTTCCTATATGATAATGATACCTAATCAATGCTTATGTATAATAATTTTCTTTGATACTGTACACTTTTATTATTTTTAATACAGAACAAGAAATAATAGGTTGAATAAAATTTCACCAAAATCAAGTGGAAAGAAAGCTGTACCCAGAAGTGGTAAGAAGTCATCACCAAAATCTGCGAAGAAAGTGTCCACTGCCAGTACCAAAAAAGTGACAGCTACCAACAAGAAAGAGTCAAAAACTCCTGTAACACCTGTGCCTGTTCAGAATATTATTAATGAGCAGATCCCAGGACGAAAGTTTTTTAAGTCTAAAAGTCCTGCATCAGCATCAAAAGCCATGGGAAGTGTCATCATTAGTAAAGGATTTAACTTGAAATTTCTTCCAAAGAGAAGAAGTTTATCCAGTCTTCCTAAACTGAGTCCTTCAAATATTATTATGAACAAAAGTAAAGTTACAGAAGTGTTTGATGACTCACCACAAAGAAGAACCAACCAAGTCAAAGAGTCTATCAAGGATTCTTTGACAGAGGATGGCAGTAGTTTAGATTCTGGATTTGACGGAAAACTGTCTGAGCCTCCTAGTCAGTGCACCCCAAAAAAGTTAATGCAAATAAAAACACAAAGTCCATCAAGGAGCCCAAGAAATAGATCAGTGTCTAACAAATCACCTGGAAAAATTGTGAACAAAAGTTTAAGTCAGACACAACAAGACAGTGACATTGCTTCATTAGATGGGTCAGCTGATTTGCTCAAAGACAGTACCAAAACAGATGATATTTCTGAAACAGGAAGTGAGATTTCTGGACCCTCTGTCAGAAGAAACAATAATTTTTTCTCTATATTTAATGGTACACCAAACACTTCACCAATAGTTAAAGCTGGGCCAAATAAATCGCTGAGGTTTGTTAACTGATTGCTTACTTTTAAAGTAGCTTGTTTCAAGTGCAGACACAAATATTTCTGAAACTGTAAAGACCAAGAATAACACAAACACTTCAGCTATCTTAAGAATATACTAAAATCTGTCTTCCTTCATCATATAGTCTATATGTGGAGAAAATACTTGGAATTAACGGATACTATTCATATTTATTAAGTTGTGTATACTTAAGCTTCATTTTTGTCGAGCCTGCGACTTTTGTCGCAGAAAGCTCGACATAGGGATAGCGATCCGGCGGCGGCTGCGGCGGCGGCGTTAGCTAACTTCTTAAAAGCTTTATATTTTAGAAGGTGGAAGGTCTGGATGCTTCATACTTTGTATATGGATGCCTCATGTTACGAAGTTTCCGTCAGTCACATGTCAAATGTCCTTGACCTCATTTTCATGGTTCAGTGACTACTTGAAAAAAAAGTTCAGATTTTTTGTAATGTTAGATTCTCTCTTATTATAAGTAATAAGATAACTATATTTGGTATGTGCGTACCTTGCAAGGTCCTCATGCCCGTCAGACAGTTTTCACTTGACCTCGACCTCATTTCATGGATCAGTGAACAAGGTTAAGTTTTGGTGGTCAAGTCCATATCTCAGATACTATAAGCAATAGGTCTAGTATATTCGGTGTATGGAAGGACTGTAAGGTGTACATGTCCAACTGGCAGGTGTCATCTGACCTTGACCTCATTTTCATGGTTCAGTGGTTATAGTTAAGTTTTTGTGTTTTGGTCTGTTTTTCTCATACTGTATGCCATAGGTCTACTATATTTGGTGTATGGAATGATTGTAAGGTGTACATGTCTAGCGGGCAGGTGTCATCTGACCTTGACCTCATTTTCATGGTTCAGTGGTCAAAGTTAAGTTTTTGAGTTTTGGTCTTTTTTTCTAATACTATGTGCAATAGTTCAACTATATTTGGTATGTGCGTACCTTGCAAGGTCCTCATGCCCGTCAGACAGTTTTCACTTGACCTCGACCTCATTTCATGGATCAATGAACAAGGTTAAGTTTTGGTGGTCAAGTCCATATCTCAGATACTATAAGCAATAGGTCTAGTATATTCGGTGTATGGAAGGACTGTAAGGTGTACATGTCCAACTGACAGGTGTCATCTGACCTTGACCTCATTTTCATGGTTCAGTGGTTATAGTTAAGTTTTTGTGTTTTGGTCTGTTTTTCTCATACTGTATGCCATAGGTCTACTATATTTGGTGTATGGAATGATTGTAAGGTGTACATGTCTAGCGGGCAGGTGTCATCTGACCTTGACCTCATTTTCATGGTTCAGTGGTCAAAGTTAAGTTTTTGAGTTTTGGTCTTTTTTTCTAATACTATGTGCAATAGTTCAACTATATTTTGTATGTGCGTACCTTGCAAGGTCCTCATGCCCGTCAGACAGTTTTCACTTGACCTCGACCTCATTTCATGGATCAATGAACAAGGTTAAGTTTTGGTGGTCAAGTCCATATCTCAGATACTATAAGCAATAGGTCTAGTATATTCGTTGTATGGAAGGACTGTAAGGTGTACATGTCCAAATGGCAGGTGTCATCTGACCTTGACCTCATTTTCATGGTTCAGTGGTTATAGTTAAGTTTTTGTGTTTTGGTCTGTTTTTCTTATACTATATGCAATAGTTCAACTATATTTGGTGTATGGAAATATTTTATGATCTATTTGGCAGTCACGCAGGTTTTATTTGACCTTGACCTCATTTTCAAGGTTCATTGCTCAGTGTTAAGTTTTTGTGTTTTGGTCTGTTTTTCTTAAACTATAAGCAATAGGTCAACTCTATTTGTTGTATGGAAGAATTGTTAGCTGTACATGCCTGCCTAGCATGGTTCATCTGACCTTGACCTCATTTTCATGGTTCATTGGTCAATGTTTAGTTTACTTGGTTAATGTTAAGTTTATGTGACAGTTGTAATAAAGCTTTATATTTAGGACTATCAACATAATATCAATGATTAGTAAAGAAGGCGAGACATTTCAGCGTGTGCACTCTTGTTGAAGATTATTTTAATTACCGGTGGTAAATGTTAAGCTTTTATTAGAAAATGGGGATCTGTATATACATAAAAAATATTATGATTATAAAGAGACACATTATGTTTTGTTCTCCACACTAAAAAATCGATAAAAAAACACAAACATTTGGTAAAACCTTAGGATCATGGGGGCAGGAGCTATATATTGCATCATTTGAATTAAGAAAAAAGTTCAGATATACGCAATAAAGTTAAGGCCAGATGAAAAATAATTTTGTGTGAATGGTTCCAACCTATGTATACATGTATATTACAGAAGAATGTCACCAAGACAATCACCCAGAATTAGAACCAGAATGGATAAAGAAAGTAGAGAACAAATGGTTGTGGTATGTTGATTATTTGTAATAATACATGTATGTGAAAGCATATTTGACAAGTTATCTAATGGAAATGCCACCTCAATCCCACTTCCCTTCTCTTACTAAAAAAACAATAGGATAAAAATCTCATTGTCTACCATCGAGAGTCAACATTCTCAATTTCACACATATAACCATACAGATTTGGAAATATAAATTATTAGAAGAATGCTTAACGATGTTAGTATTTTTATGGCATAATACAGTTATTTTATATTTTATGTCTTCCTTTATTTTATTTTTCTTGTCTTCCATGACAAAAATGAGACCGTTTTATTGCACATAACAACAAATTATGTCCCTGCTTTAAACATGTAATCTTAATGGACTAGGATTGTCCGTTTTCCTACCAAGGGTCCTAGTTCTCTCTAGGTACTCCACAGCTTCCTCCACCAATAAAAACTGACTGCCCCGATTTATCACAATAGTGCGGAAAGTGACGTTAAACACCAATCAATCAATCAATAAACATGTAAGTACGTTTGTATAAATTTATATTTCGTAGAGTAAAATAATTCTGGGTTGGAAGTTTCCATGTTTGCTATTTGGACAGTGCTCTGATGTCCCATTGCCCATAAATCATAAAAAATCCATCAGACGTCAGAAGAATTGTACAAAAGATGCAATTTATGGATATATCAAGCAGAATGGGTGTGAAGAAAGAGCAAATTAGGTGTTAATGGAAGATCTTTGATAGATTTTGTATATTTATTCTCAGATTCGGGTTGAATTAGTGCTGAACATGTAGATACATGTGTGCAGTGTCAAGGACAATATGTTGATATTTCGAAGTCTCTTGTGGTTATTTGTATAGTTGGGTTGCTGTCTCATTGACTTAAACCCCACATGTCCTTGTACTTATAGTATTGCAATCATTTAACAAACACAGAGTGGTTGGTATACTGCAATCACATACTCTGTCTGAAATTTCACCTGTCTAGAATTGGAAAACCTTGCAGACTTTTGAACTGGTCATTTGAGGTTATTGCACTTACACAGTTCCAAATAAAAACAGCAAACTAATAGAGCAATTGTATGGTACATTATTTTATTGCAAAAAAGAAAAGTTCAAAGGTGGCAATGAACAACCATAAGTTGGAGAAAGACAAATATCACCATTGCTAAACGAAAAAAAGATAAAGACTAACAAGTTCAAAAAGATGTACACTACTCGTAAATAAATTGAGTGTCTAATATATATCTTAATCTACTTGGCCTGTTAGTCTAGACTAAATTTAAGAAAGAACTTTGTCATGACAATTTTGTTTGGAAGTTAAATGTTATTGGAAAGAGAACTTTTTTAACTGTTATTTTAAGGATGCTGGACAGAAGAAGTTTGGAGCAGTACAGTGTGAAGTTTGTGGAATGGTATACAGACATGCAGATCCAGGTGATGAATCAACACATGAAAAGTTTCATCAAGATCTCCTTAATGTCTTAAAGTTCCCTGTAAGTTACTATGCAAAAAACTATCAAGATTATCTGAACAGATTAAGATTACTCTGTTTTCTCCTCACAAATTTCATAAATCATCCTGCAGGTCAACAGGGAATTTGAGATACCATCTTGTTTCTAGAAATTAAACCATTTCATTCATCTATAAGGAAATCATTTCACATAGCTTCACATTCATCTATTAGGAAATTATTTCACATAGCATCACATTCATCTATAAGCAAATCATTTCACATAGCTTCAAGCTTCACATTCATCTATAAGGAAATCATTTCATATAGCTTCAAGCTTCACATTCATCTATAAAGAAATCATTTCACATAGCATCACATTCATCTATAAAGAAAATCATTTCACATAGCTTCACATTCATCTATAAGGAAATCATTTCACATAGCTTCACATTCATCTATAAGGAAATCATTTCACATAGCTTCACATTCATCTATAAAGAAATCATTTCACATAGCATCACATTCATCTATAAGGAAATCATTTCACATAGCTTCACATTCATCTATAAGGAAATCATTTAACATAGCTTCACATTCATCTATAAGGAAATCATTTAACATAGCTTCAAATTCATCTATAAGGAAATCATTTCACATAGCTTCACATTCACCTATAAGGAAATCATTTCACATAGCTTCACATTCACCTATAAGGAAATCATTTCACATAGCTTCACATTCACCTATAAGGAAATCATTTCACATAGCTTCAAGCTTCACATTCATCTATAAGGAAATCATTTCATATAGCTTCAAGCTTCACATTCATCTATAAGGAAATCATTTTTCACATAGCATCACAATTATAATGCTGCTAAAAGGCCATGGGGAGAACAGTAGATTACTAATAAATAGCTACATGTTCTAAAAAAGGGGTCAGCAAAATTTGCAAAAGACCTACACTATTTTGGTATTTTGCAATAGAAATAAGTGAGGACCAGCAGATTTTCTTTTAAGTACTAAAAAAGGGGGAAAAAAATTTCGAGAACTCTGGTGAAAAGTACTTAGAAGTTTTTCATGTAGCAAATGTGTAGTAAGATATCTTCTGGGAATTCCCTCTGGATATATTAAATATATGTGTGTGTCCCAACAAAATTTCCTGGAAATCAGTTATTGTATATTTTAAAGTTGACAAGCTTTATCTGACACCTAGTGTCATTGATTAAGATAGCGCTTGTCATTTACGAAATGGTTTTCAATATTTCTCAAAACAATCACATTTGTAGTTCGATTGTCATAGTTTCTTTATATGAAAATTTTTTCGTCACATTTTATATAACTTTTCATCAAAAACTTTCGACAATTTCGATTAAAAAGATGGAACTTTATTCAAAACATTCAGAAATATTTTCTTATTCAAACAGGTGCTTTCTGAACTATGTACTGCACATACGTGAAAGTATTCTTATAAATTTCTTACTAAGCAACTTAATTTAAAAAATTATAATTTCCTGCCTATTGTTAAACACAAACCAATCCGTAGATGAATCCGGATTCATTCTAAATTTATTATCCTCTTGTCACTTCTCGTTTTCATTTCATTTAAAAATCAAAAGTATACGTGATTTATTCTTGATTAATTTACAATACACAGTCATTAGAACCGTTCCAACAAAAATTTGTTGAAATCCTTGGTTCCAAGTTTATAGAAATGAATTTCAAATATCGATTTAAACGTTTTTACAGTGATAATGATTATGCAATCAAATAGTCGTTACAATTTCATTTATCAACCTTTGTTGATCAGGAATGTCCCCTGAAAATAACTAAAGTGAAATTGCAAACAAGATTTCCGGATCCTTGTTCTAATCTTCATATTTAAGCATCATCTCAGTCAATTCATGCAATAACTGCCTATCATGCCTAAGTCCTTCAAAGATGTATAGCTAGTATTATACGTCCTTGGTCCCTTGCTGGTACCCAAAATAAGGTTGGTTTTCATCTCATGTGGAAGTGACTAAAGCCCTCAAAATCCTAGTTGAAACCCTGCTTAGTCTATAAAAAATTAAATATTTATTACATATAGATTTTGTTACATTATTTATTGAAAAGGGTTGGAAGAAAGAAAGAGTTGTACAAGAATTCGCAGAAGATTGTAGTAGGATTGTAATGGTGGTACATGATGATCCAAAGTATGCTGTTAAGAAAGTAAGTAAATTATTTTACTTTCAGGATATCATTGCAAACAGATCACAATTGTTAAACAAAACAAATTAGTAAAGAAAAATAAATTATTTTTAGAAAGGAGAAGGTACATTCGTAACTTGTTTAGTCATGCTAATGCACCTATAATAGAATCTTATTTGTCCCCTGCGCGATGTGTTGTGACAGACATAGAAATACCTAGTGTCTGTCCGTTTGTCCCTTCTTGTAAGTACTCTCATGTGTACATTTCTTGCCAGAGTTTATCAATTTTTTATCACCGGTTTATATTAGCAAAGTTTTGAACAAGTTGAAAATCCATATCAATCAACTATTTTTAAAAGAGTAATGCTCCTTAGAAATATATATTAATATGTCAAATTGCGTTGAAAGGGCTTTCACATGGATAATTCTTTCGAAATATTTATGAAATTATTTTCAAAGGTTTAGATCAGCAATGTAATGGACATGTTTTTAAATCAGTGCCAATCAACTATTTTGAAAAGAGTTAAGCCCCTTGGAAATATTAATTATATGGAAAATTGCAATTGTAAGTGCTCTTAAGAAATTTATAAAAAGTTTTTAAGAACCAATCAAAGTTATTTTAGACATGGGTATTGCTTTTCCGGCAGCGGTGGCGTCAACAATTGTTAAGTTGTCTGCTTAAGTTAGTTTGATAAAAACAATGGCCAGTGATATTTTGTATGAAGTTGCATTACTATCAGTACATATCAATTTGACAACTATTTCATGGCCCTGTCCCCTAGGTCATGGTCCAGTGACTTTGAATTAAATAGCAATTTTCATCGTTAAGTTTTCTGCTTAAGTAAGTTTGATAGGAACTACTTGTGATAGACCAATGATATTTTCTATAAAGTTGCATTACTATCAGTTCACATCAGTTTGACAACTATTTCAAGGCTCTGCTCCAAGGTTATGGTCCAGTGACTTTCTATTAATAAGCAATTTTCAATGTTATGTTTTCTGCTTAATTTAGTTTGATAGGAACTACTTGTGATAGGTCAATGATATTTTCTCTGTAGAAAATGTTTATCAGTTACTCTTCAGACAGATAATATATTTTTAAACTTCTACATAGACTTTTAAGACATTTAAATATTTGACAGTGAAAACATAAAGAGATTTCCATGCAAAAAAGTTGATTTCAGGAAAATTTTCACCAAAACTTTTTTTTTATCAAGAAGTTAGTCCAAAAATATGAATCTAGTCTTAACATCTTTACAGGCAATGGGTTATACTCAGCATGTTAAAATAAAAAAAAAAGATTTTGTATGATTTTTCCTAACATTGTATCATGATTGTATATCTCATGTAAATGTTTTAAACAAAATAGCAAGGATGGTTTGTAATTAATGGATTAAGATTATATCAGCATGATCAGATAAATGAGATCTGAAAATATTTAATGTATAATAAGACTGAAAAGTGTACCATTTCTTTTACCTATATTTTTGTTCTTTATATGTTAACAAAAGAAATGGTATATTTTTTGCAGTATGAATATAAAAAGACATAAAACTAAGCATCATCAGTTATTCAGAATTTTATTTCAACTTTTTGGTTTTCGGCTTGAATGATTATTAGTTTGAGAAAATATTGATAAAATATATTTAATGTTTTTTTTGTAGATTGAAGATATCAACAACATAATGGGAAAAGAAATGGGGTTTCCTGAAGCCTCTCTAGCCTCCAAGTCAAAATATAAGGTAAACTGTCTGTGATTTTTAGACTGCTTGGCCCAAGAGGACAAATACGAACTTTTGCCATAATGCAATCACTTACCATTCATGGTCAACTTTTTCAAAAGTCTTATCCTCTGAAACCAGTTTGCAAATTGGTCCCAAACTTGGGTGGCATTTTCCATATTGGACTGCCTTCAAAGTTACCAATCAAGTATGGCTTCAAACATTACCTGGTACTTTAAGTAGGTAATTTTCTCATGTATCCAAGCTTCTGAATAACAGTCATTTCTGTCATTAGGTAATTAATTTATTGACTTTAAATTTGAAGACTCAAGCTACCTGCTGTCTCATCATCTGCCTTCATTATTTCAGTTTTTTTTAATTTAATTTTATTATTATAGGGGTGTCAATTTCCTTGATTACCTAATTTTAAAAGTGGAACAGTGGAAGCTTATTTTCTAACTTATATGGTACCAAAATCTTTAAATAATGATTCACTTAATCACTAACTTTTTCATTCATTATTTTTTTAACAGGCATTCTTGTTTATATCAGAAGACAAGAAAGTTGATGGGTGTTGTATTGCTGAACCAGTTACACAGGTAAGTTGACTTCAAAATACTTGAGACAAACAGAACCTTTTCAAATGAGTCTTAAGAGATTCTTAATTTATTGCTCATGGCAATAGAAGTATCAAAAATGTGTAAGAGGTCCTGGGAACCCTGCGTCTCGCCTGCAATTGCTGCTATCAGCGTAAAAGTGTAATGTTGACCAAGGATCCAGAAATTTTTACACACAATTTCGGTCATTTTGAGATGATTGAAAAGTTGGTGCCCCTTTTCAAATTGTTGATGTCAAACTAGATTTATAGCATCAACGAACTTGTATTGCTGTTTCATCGTATTTACTGAGTAAATTTCTTACCATTTTTCTAAAAACCTTCAAGAACAGTTTAAAACTGAAATGATTTTAATGACTCAAAATGGTTAATTTTTCAGACATTGCTAACGTTTCTTTCGATTTGACGAAATTAAAACCGGAAGTTTTGCGATAATATTAAAAGTACAAATAATTCCATATTCATTTTCGGGATTTGTTTTGTTTATCAAATTGACAGGAAATCACCGGCTTTTTAATTTTATTACCTTTAAAAGTGTTTGAATATAACAAATAATAGTTGCACTCGTTTAATTTAGCATGGAATCAATTTGCATTTTACAATTAAATATTTAATTTGCTGAAGACAATTTCACGCATGCGTATAACATAGTAAATAAAGCACATGTGTTACTCCTGAAAAATTTTTCTACATATATTAAAATAAGGTTTAATTTTTAAATCTGAATTGATGACTGTCTTTGCTGAAAAGTAATTAAATAATGAATACACTTGTCAGGGAATTTTAATTTCTTTAAGATATTATAATTTCTGAGCTTGTGATCAATGTCAGGTGTGAATTAAAAACACAGGTAAAAAGTAATTAGCAATCATTAGCCAATGTTTCTCCCAGAGGCATTGATATAGTTATTAGGAGGACCCTCATGATTATCAAACTATACTGGAGTGGCAGTTTTATTACAGGAAAGGGATTATAAACAAAAAAATGTGATCACAAGTGCAAAATGGCGATTAAGAAACCTGATTTCAAACATTGAGTCAATGAAATGACCGAAATTATTTCTGTTAAAAATATTAAATATGTCCTAAATCCCAATTAGTCGTTTAGGACATATAGCTTTCAGTTTAGGACATGACTGGCAAATATGACCGTTTCTGGACCCTTGATGTTGACTTAAAAAATGAGTCCATTTATCAGTAAAATACAGAATTTAAAAAAAAAAATCAAATTTTTTCTTTAGATGCTATTTTCTGGTCTTGCAGATTAGCTTCTGTCCAAGTTTTAAAACAATCCATGAAGGTTTACAAATTTATCATTTGAAAAAAAATGTAATCCCAGACTGTCTGTAAATGTTAACTGTAAAAAACTAAGTCCATCTATCAGAAAAGTGCTGAAAATGAAAAATATATATTTTCAAAAGTTTGCTTCAGAAATTGTCTTAATCATAAAAATGCTTCTGCCAAAGTTTCATGAAATTCTATGAAGGTTTGACAAAGTAGTTATTAAAGAGTGACAAACCTTAAACCCCAGACTCTATCTACTTGTTAACTGTAAAATAAAACTAAGTCTATATATCTGTAAGATAAGAAAAAATGAAAATAAAGTTTTGCTCTGAATATTGTATTTTGGTCATAGCTAAGCTTCTCTCCAAATTTCATAAATTCCATGAAGTTTTGACAAATTTATTGATGACTGAAAAACTTTAACCTCAGACTGAGACTGAGTGTTAACTGTCAAAAGGCTAAGTCCATTTATCAGTAAAGTACGGAAAAATGAAAATAAATATTTTCAAAATTTTGCTCTAGATACTGTCTTTTGGTCATAAACAAGCTTCTGCCCAAATTTCTTAAAATTCCCTTAAGGTTTGACAAAATTATTGATGAGTGATAAACTTTAACCTCAGACTAAATCTGAATGATAACTGTAGAAAAATAAGTACATATATCAGTAAAATACGGAAAAGTAAAAATAAATATTTTCAAAATTTTGCTCTGGATAGTCTTCTGGTCATAAACAAGATTCTGTCCAAATTTAATAAAATTCCATGAAAGTTTGACAAAGGTATTGATGCCTAAAAATTAACCACAAACTGAACCTAAATGTTGACACCGCCAATGATCTGTGATCGCTAATGTCTTGCTTTTGCGACAGGCTCGACAATAATTTTGTCCATACTTTCACCTATAATGACAAAAGTTTGTCTTGAGGATGCTCATGATGAGACCATGTCAGCAAATAATCACCAAACCTTGACCTCTTCATGCTCTACTCTCCAGGTTAAATCACCATTACTGTGCATAAGTCTTCAATTTTTGATAATACAATTTGTTAAGAATACATGTCCCTTTGACAATTATCATATGGCCTAAACCTCGTTTCAGTTGGACATTTACGATTTTGGATTAAGTGTGTAACTCAAAAATTATGCATGATACATGTTGGTTAAAATGCATTGTATATAAATTAATTGTATGTGCTTGGACATGTGCCCTTGACAGATTTCATTTGACAAGTGAGTCGACCTCAGCTGTAGACTCCGATGTCCTTTTAAACAATCCCAGTATTGCAGAATGTGAGTTTTTTAGGACTTTTTTAAAGGAAGATAAAAGCTGCACAAATGAAATACAACTTTAAGTCATTGCAGATCAGTATAAATATCTCACTTTTAATTGAAAACAGCTTTTGCTTCATGGTAATAGAAGTCAGTTCCATTGAAGTCTTAAATTGTAGTACAAAATGGTAAAGAAATTAAGTTTGAAGTTAAAAACAGATCCAGATATATTAACCATTGATACTACTTTGTAGGGTTACAGAGTGATCCCTGAGAGTCAACCTTCCCAATCAGACATCCCTCAGCCTGGACACAGACCATGGTATTGTAATTCTGATCCTGAACCAGCTGCTGTTGGAATCAGTAGGATCTGGGTATTTGGACAACAAAGACGGAGAGGAATAGCTTCCAAATTGTTAGATGCTGTTAGGTAGAAAAACAAATATTTCCTTTTGATATACCCTTGATTGGTAAACACAACACAGTACACGGAGCTCAACTAACACTTTAAACAATACAAAAAATTAATAAATGCAATAATTACTTCCCAGTTCGTATAATGAATAGCTTTTTGATTTGTTAATATGTATGATTAAGTTGTAAAGGTGTAATATTAAAATATATAATGTAAATTTACAATAACAGAAATGTAATTTGCCTTGCATCTTCAAACTTTTATAAACTTGGCATTTATAATTCACTATCCCAATACTTCATTATGGACTGCTATTCACTTGAATAAAAAAATTTCAGTGCTAGAGACTATCTTCACTACATTAAAGAAAGAACCTTTTTTCCCTTAATTATATCTTTATAACCTTTAACATTTCAGACAATGGTTTCAGTATGGTGCATATATTGAGAAGAGTCAAGTTGCATTTTCTGATCCAACAGGTGATGGAAAAATGTTTGCCAGTAAATATACAGGAATGACAGACTTCTTGGTTTATAAGTATGGATAATCTGGTACAGATTATTAGAGACGATTACACTTTGATTATACAAGAAACAGTCAACTGTAGTCACTTTATACAGGGAAAATTTGAATGAAATAACAATAGAGACTATCAATATATTGTTTCTAGTCTATAACCATGTATGTAGAGTAGTTTTACTGTGATCTTTATAAATTGTTAAGCATGATAAGTTTTAACATTGGAGATTATTGTATTTATGTTATATTGATTAATACAAGTATCAATGCTGCAAAGACAAAATGAAAGAGGAGGTGTGCCAAGTGCCCAATTTTGCTTAGAAAATTATAGTATTCCTGATTTTTTAGTAATTATTATTGATAAGTATGTGTAAAGATTAAATTGTAAGATCTTGATGATTATTCCTGGCGATTTGACTGTTAAAAGATAGCATAATTCAAATTTTTTACCAAAAATTATAAAATTTGCATATTTTCACAGATATTTGTGAGTGGGTAATATTAAGTTTTCTGAATGTTTTATTCAGATTTAGTACTTGAATGATGCATCACCAATGTTTGGTATACTATTTTATCAGTAATTTGTACATATTTCCTTTGTTGTGTACTCCCTGATAATGTCAGTATCAGTGGACAGGTGATAAAAACAATTTGTGGTATACTGGTGTATTAACATACATGCACTTCAGTTTCAGGGAGATGAGTCCTCCAAGTCATGCTTCAGTGGTTCTGGAATTTTGATATTGTTCAAAGTTAAGTTCTCTGGTAAGGTATATGTATAGTACTTTATACACAATGTATACGAGACCTTTGATATTTGGTATGCAGTTGCATTAACATCCTTTAATTTGGCTTTTTAGGACAGCACCCCTCAATTGGGAAATTTTTAAGCTTTCAATAGATATAGGAAGATGTGGTATGAGTGCCAATGAGACAACTCTCCATCCAAGTAACAATTTATAAAAGTAAACCATTATAGGTCAAGGTACAGCCTTCAACACAGAGCCTTGGCTCACACCGAACAGCAAGCTATAAAGAGCCCCAAAAATAGCTAGTGTAAAACCATTCAAATGGGAAAACCAACGGTCTAATCTATTTAAAAAGCCTACATTTCTTCTTAGATATTTATAAAAGGTTTTAAAGAACCAAGGCAAATTTTAAAAAAAATCAAGTTATTGGCCTTGGACAGATGAAATATTTGCAACACTGAAACTCTGTTATTTTATCTTTTTTTTTCAAATACTTGTAATTTACCATTGGTATTTTAAATGTGATTATTTTGAAATCTGATCACTTGTATATTATTTCTTATATATTGTGAGGTCTATATCTTTTTAGTCATGAAATAATAAATTTGATGTAATAATGTTTACTGTAAACATGTGTGATCCAGTCAGGTACTCAAAAACAGATATCCACTCCTGTATGCATAAATATGCAGTAGGTTGTTGATGTTACTGCAAAGCAAGTGAAATATATTGTTGTGAATCATAAACATACTGTATGCCATTGTCCATCCACATTTTCACACTTTGACCAAATTTTGTTATTTAAAGGATTTTTCTTGCTATCTTGAACATTTCCAATAGTTTTCATTCCAAAGTAACAGAGCTTCAATCATATTTTTTTGACTCAAAGATTACTTTCACCTTGCTTCTATACCTATCATGCAAGACCCTTGTGTGCTGTCACGATTCTTAAACCTCTTTGTAATAGTATAGTCTACTTCTACGACTTCGGGGGTGTTTAATGAAAGTGATTACCCATGAGGGTCTAGCACTGATTATAGTAGACAAGATTTTACATGATATAAATTTCAATTTTGAAAATTTAATGAACGGTGTTGAAGATAAAATATGTATATTTGCACATTTTACATGATAATTCAAGTTTTGATATCCAATAAATAAAACATTTAATATGCACCTTAACTAAAAACAGATCGCCAAATTCATCTAAAGGTAAATCCTGAAAAAAAGTACATTTGTTCCCTATAAGAGTGAAGGCTATTTTACAATTGGAGGATGTGAATATATCTTGCATTCATTTAACAACTTTAAAAGAAAAGCATGTATGTTAATATATGTATCTTGACAAAGAACAGGAAAATAATCTACTTTCTGAATACCTGATTTTGGGCAGATCCATAAAAATTATATATGGGACCCAGGGAAGCATTAATATAGATGATTGATAAAAGACTATTTTGTAAAGTGAAAATGTAATAAAAATTCAGAAATTTCCTCTATAGACTCACTTATTTTACCAAAAAATTCTCTGAGTACCATGTATGTTTTTATGGAACAGCCCAGATAAGAAAAGTATTATCATTGATCTTGATTTAAATGACAGTTATTTTACAAGCAGAATAAGGGTTTATCAGGTGTTTGTTCTGCCTTTTTTACTGAAACTTGTTTAAAATTATAAACAACTTTATTATTTTTAATAAATCATAATCCTCTTAAATACTTTTGTGCTCTTCTATATTCACCATTTTATAAAATATGTATACAATTACTGGTAAACTGAAAGCACAAGTTCACAATAGTATAGTTTGATGCAGTTCATACAAGAAGTGTGGGTCCGAGGTCCGGGACCTGTCTTTTCTAGGAGAGGACTTTTCATTTTTAAATTACAAAAGTCAAGGACCTACCATTCTTTACACTAATGCTTGATACACGATCATTGATTTCTTATAGAGGACCCTTTACTTAAAATTTTAAATGTTCATGGACCTTTCATTATTTAAAGCAAATTTGAACCCCTGTCATATTTATATAAACTTTTGTAAAAGTAAACACTTGGTAGCTGTTTACTTATTAAAGGGAGATAATTCAGTGTACTTTTACTTAACTAAAAAACAAATCCATACAGGTTAGAACAACTGCCACTAATTCGCAACAGCTGTCAAACATTAATGATATTAATGTGACAGTGATGATTTGTTTAATCTGACTTTTTTTAATGTGAATAAAAAGAGATGTGGGGTATATGTTAATGAGACAGCATCCTAACAACAGAAGAAGACATCAAGAGGTCAACAAAGGTCATCAACAATAGACAGTAGGTTTTGGTTGTTACAGTCAATTTATGTTTGATTCAGCAAGCAAACTATAACTAACTTTTTTTTCTGTAACAAAATGTTTTAATTAATTTTTTCGTCCACAAAAATGTACCGGTACTCTGCCAATTCAATGCTCCTACAGTGTAATATTTGCTGTTTGACAGCTTAAATTGACTTCCCTGGCTGGAGGTAATTTATAGTACATGTATATATAAAAAATGACTCACACTGGCATTGAAAAGATTTGGTGTTTTTGGTACTACAGTGCTTGTGATAGTAAAAGTTTTATATAATTTTTCATGATAATTTTGTTGTAAAGTTTTTGTACATTGTTTTAGAAATCATTTTGCATGATGTCTCTAACCTAACTGTTTATTATGTCAAAATAATGAAATCTATGAAATAATATAAGTGCATTATATTGCCTGATAACTTTAAATGTGCAGAATGATGAAGATTCTCGCTGTTTGTTATTCAAATTTAAATCCTTTTCTATTAATGTCAGTCCTCATTTCTTTCCATTTTTAGCCAAACTCTGCTTTTGAGAATCAAGATATTACCTCTGTTGTTTCTTCTATTTTATAGTAATTTAAAGTTCAGTACAACAATTTCCACTCCTGTTGGTCTGAAAAATTTAGTGGTAGATATCACAAAAATAAATGAAATGACTAATGTCAAATGATTAAATACTTATACTTATTTACAGTAAAGTATTTATTTTACATATAAAAAAAAAGTGATGATATAATGTTTTAAAGAAATTAAGTACCCTTGATTTATTTAATAAAAATTAAATAATAGATAATGAAATAAATTAAGTGTGTAGTGTTCTGATGTACAACTGGAAAATTCATGATAAAACAAAGCCAAGAAATAATTTAATATTTTTTATTATTCAATAATCTCTTAAATCCTGAAAGAAATTTAATTATATTAAGGATGTACACCTCTGAAGAGCCAAAAATTTCTAGAACTTTTTTTCTTAACCTGATTTTTGGGTTTATATGACTGTAAGAAAGTAACTGATGAAGTAAAAATCATATGGTGGTGCACTTCTTTTTTTTTTTTGCTACAGCCATTTGAAAGTACCCATTATTATCATGAAAAAAAAAATCACTATTTCACAATTAAACTTTTTTTCATACTTTTACTCAAGATGAAGTGGACCAATCTGAATAAATTTAACTTAAAAGAATATAGGTAGGTGTTAATATAAGAAAGTTTTATAACATTTTGTTGCTTTTTTGTGTCAAATTGACCATGCTGACAATTTTGTTAATTTGGGATTATTCTCATTTTTTTAGAACAAAAAGCATATTATTTCAACTTCTTTGTTATATATGATTGAAAAAATACATATCTACGAATTTCGAAAGGAAAAAATTGATATGGGATGTACATATATATATAAATTATTTCTTTGTACCCACACCTATTTTCTCAGCATTTTGGCTGATGACATTTACCAGATTGGTTATAAAATTTGAAAATTTCATTACTCAAAAACTACTTATTGTAATGACACAATTTTTTAACAGAGTTTAGTTTGACTATAATATTTTTTATATTCATTGATATTTTCCACTTGTATCACATGTTTTGGAAATAATTCAGAACGAGACTGAAACCTCAGAAGAATACATCCTTAAGACAAATACAAAGAATTTCATTATAATCAGTTATTCTGTCAGATGAGAGCTTCCAGCTGTCACACTTTGTAATGCACACCTCCTTGAAATCAGCTGCACAGAATTCAACCAAACTTGCAGAGTTTTTTCTACAGGATATAAAGTTGTCATTCTGCTATTTAAATGTTTTCAGTACCTGATATTTGTCTCGCTTCAATTCAGTTATATTATATAATTGGAACTTGTTTGTTTTGTTACTATTTGTTGTAAGGAAAAATGCTGATTGTATTAGCTATATGTTTGTTAATTTTTTGTAGGAATTTGTTGATGGTTTGATAAAAATAAAAGATATCCATTTAAATACAAGTTGTTTTTTCTATACTGCATCTTAACAGGAGGCATGACATATGCTTTTACTTATCGAGGTGCTCTCACATCTACAAATGTGGCCAGATTTTTATGAAATTTATACCAACGGTTTATATCTCCAATATCTCAAGACAATTTCAAAAAACAGTGTCGATTAACTTTTTTTAAAGGAGTTATGCTCCTTAGGAATATAAATTATATGTAAAATTGCATTTTAAGTGCTCTCAAGTGTTCAATTCTTGCCAGATATTTGTGAAATTTACATCAAAGGTTTATACCAAGAATGTTTTTTTTTGTGTTTTGGTCTGTTTTTCTTATACTGTATGCATAGGTCTACTATATTTGGTGTATGGAATGATTGTAAGGTGTACATGTCTAGCTGGCAGGTGTCATCTGACCTTGACCTCATTTTCATGGTTCAGTGGTCAAAGTTAAGTTTTTGAGTTTTGGTCTTTTTAGCTCACCGGGGCTCGAAGGGCCCCATGTGAGCTTATGCCATCACTTGGCATCCGTCGTCGTCGTAAACTATTTCAAAAATAGATATATATAAACTGTAAGCAGCAATAATGTTCAGCAAAGTAAGATCTACAAAAAAGTTAATATGGCCATAATTGTCAATTGACCCCTTAAGGAGTTATTGCCCTTTTACACAATTTGTTCATCAAGTTTGCTAACATTTAAAAATCTTCTCCTCTGAAACTACTGGGCCAAATACCTTCAAACTTTAACTAAATGTTCCTTAGGGTATCTAGTTTATAAATTGTATCCGAAGTTTTGATCCATCGACAAACATGGCCACCCTGGCTAAAAATAGAACATAGGGGTCAAAAGCAGTTTTTGGCTTATATCTCAAAAACTTAAGCTTTTAGAGCAAATCTGACATGGGGTAAAATTGTTCAATTGGTCAAAATCTATCAGCTCTGAAATTTTCAGACGAATCGAACAACCCATTGTTGGGTTGCTGCCACCGAATTGGTAGTTTTAACAAAATTTTGCAGTTTTTTGTTATTATTTTGAATATTATTATAGATATATATAAACTGTAAGCAGCAATAATGTTCAGCAAAGTAAGATCTACAAAAAAGTTATATGACCATAATTGTCAATTGACCCCTTAAGGAGTTATTGCCCTTTTACACAATTTGTTCATCAAGTTTGCTAACATTTAAAAATCTTCTCCACTGAAACTACTGGGCCAAATACCTTCAAACTTTAACTAAATGTTCCTTAGGGTATCTAGTTTATAAATTGTATCCGAAGTTTTGATCCATCGACAAACATGGCCACCCTGGCTAAAAATAGAACAT